GGATGACTTCAGTGGCTCAATTTCTTACATTTACTCTCTAGCACTGTTTTTTAGATTGTGTTACTATTCTGAAAAGGGTTGGGTTTTTTTTTTTAGGGTAGTATAGAAGGCCATTTATCATTTTGGCGTTGAATGTAGTTGCTTTTAAGTAAAATACTTCAGGTTATCCTATTTATAGAACCAGTCAATCTAGAATACTCTAAAAATTCTAACAATTTACCCAAAAAATGGTAGGTTCCAAGAAAATATACACAAGGATGAATTTTTGTGCATGACATAAAATTGTTAGTAATTCTCAGTGTTTTGAAATCTGTTGCTAGTCTGCACTCTATTAAGAAAAGAGATGATTTACAAAACAATTTTACAGACAAATTTGTAGATTTGGGGGTTGTGTGTGTGTATATATATATTAAAAAATGTATGAGATATCAAGAGATTATTTCCAAATAGAAAGAATATTAATAGCATTATACAGGTTCTAGTGCAATCCAATCTGGAACACTGGAAGTGCAGAAAATGTTTACTATTCAGACACTGAGAAAATGCCACATGAGTAAAGATTAAAAAAGCATGGCTTGTTGACCTTAACAAAGCAAAAGTTAAAAGGATATTTAATTATATTTATGAATAGACCAAGGACAGTGTTGAAATAATGAGTGGATGAGCTTGACCATGAATAAATTTTAGTCTGGAAAGTAAAAGGAAATCTCTGGCGGTGTGAAGTTCAGCAACAGTCTTCCAATTGAAACAGTGGTGAGTAAGATAGAACTTTATTGGTAGGTAAAGGAATTAACAAAGTAGTTCTCTCTGACATTAGTCGCAGGACTGATCCTGTAGATGTGTTCCAGTTACGTGTTCCTCAACTGAAAAACTATTTTGTGTCTTGAATAACAAAATCAAAGTTGAAAACTTCTGTGGAAAAAAAAAAGATAAATTACTTGTTAGTAGTATTAAATAGACATATCAGTAAAAATGAGCAGTGATGCCAAATGGAATTTAAAGATAGACTGAAGGATAAAGGCAAGTGAGTAAGAGTGGCCAAGAAATGCTAAAGTCAGTGAATTTTTGTGACTAAAGATGGCTAGACTTAACTGATGTTTCTGTATTTTGGAACTACTAAGGAAGCTTTTCGATGTTAGTTTCCTGTCTAAGTGATTCTGATAAATTTTCTACTAACTTAGCCAAACTTGTGGTATTTCAGAGGCTAAATTACAACCTTTTTTTACTTAAATTTGAATTGTACATAGAAAGCTATTGCTACTTTCCTTTTGAACTTGAAAAAAAAAAAATCCAAACCCACAAACATCTCTTCCTCAATGATTACATCAATACGTTTTATCTTTGGGAAAACTAATTTAATTATTTCTTCACAAATACTACATTATCTATTTGATACTTACAGATTTTGAAAATGTTTTATTTTTGAAGCTCTTTACTTACAGCTTCAGAGCTCATCATTTCCAGCTAATTTCTTAGAGTGTGATGCAGAAATAGTTTTCATAGATGAATTAACATGAAAATTCCTCCATAGTCAGGTAACTCAATTGAAAATATCACTAAAGAAGATAAATAACAGAACATCTAAGATGAGCCCAAAGGCAAGAGCAGATCTTCTGAGGTAGTAACGAAAGAGCTGAGAACACTGATGTTATAGAAGACATACCTATATAATGTGGCAGTTCCTTAACAGACTATATCTGACAAATATTGGCAAGGTACATGTGCCTCCTTACATATTCTAAGTACCTAATGAATAACTAGCTCATCATCTTTGAGAAAATAATCATGAAATGATATGAAATTATAAAATTATTGTTAATAATTAAGAAATGTACTAATGTAGATGCTATGATGTCATTCCCCTGGGCCATATGATCCTCTAGGGCTTATAATGCAGTACTTCTCAGAGGAAGAAACCTAGCAATAGGCTGTTTACTAGATGCATCTGTTTCTAGAGATTTGTTTACTCTAAGACTACCAGTTAGTTACATCTTGGAATCCTGGGACCTTTCATTAAAACTGAATCTTTTTTATATTAAAAACAAAATGAATATTAGAGACTTTATTTTTAGTTACAGTGAAGTCCAGGTAGTGTGGAAGGATCCATGGGTAAATGAAAATAAGAACCCCAAATTTTGATGGTAGCTCACAGAAAAGTGAAAAAACAGGAAATAAAAAATTTGTCTTAAATACCTGAAAGAAAGATGAATCTTTGGAAGTTGTGAACTCGTTAAGATACTAGCCAGAATGCTTGCAAGCAAGCATACATCTTGTTTCTTCTGTTCACCTTGTAGCTCTGCAACAATCCAGTCATGTAATTTTTGCCTCATACCAAACCACCAAGTCTGACATCCATAAAACAAAGACAGCCCTCATACTCTTTTAAAAAAGCTAATGTTTAATTAAATTTTTCCTCTTTAAGAAGCATGTGTGCGTGTGTGTGTGTTGTTCATAAAAAAAATATGAACGGTACTCTTTCCTTCTTTGCTATTTTACATTATCATTGTCACATTCTCTGTAATAACTTATTTGCCAGCTAAATGTAGTCTCTGGAAGCTGAATATTCTACTTGCTTCTTACCAGCTAGGCTAAGAAATTTATTCTGAGTAGTTCGGTTAACTGGTCTTCTGTGACATTGATGCACCTGGAGACGGGGGTCATCATCAGCAGTTTGCTGCTACACTGCAATTACACCAACCTGAGTTCTGTCTTTGATTTTCAGTCCAGCCTACAGTCAGATGCATGGGATTCCCAAACCACCTCTGCCAGCATCCTGTCCCTGTGAACTGCAGAGTATTGTGGATTTGTTCATGAAGGTTGATGTTTTATTTCAAAATTTTTAAATATTTACCTTCAGAGAAGTCTTTTGTCTACCCCTTTTACCACTGAATTTTAAGGAAACTTGGAATTACAAGAAAGACTTCTCTCATTTACCAATTTTTCAGAAAAGAGAACTGATAATGCCTTTCTTATGGAGAGATACTCACAATGTGAAAGTTTCCTCCATAGTGGGTTTTATGTTTCTTTGGTATGCAATTATAAAATAAAGGTCTTGTCTTCTCAGCTAGCAACATAATAGAATATAAAATAGAAGATTTTCATGACAAATCCTTGATAAGGGGAGGGAGATTTTCCTTCATGCCAGTGGAGTAGCACCTACAATTTGGAACTTTTTCAAAACAGTGAATTGAACTTTTGTTTTTCCCAGTTGTAAGTTTCTTTGCAATGTGATCTCTCAAGTGTCTGAAGAATCCAGGTAAAAATCATTTGCTTAGTTTGGGAGGTGGGAAGGAGACAGACTAATAAGAAGACATGATATTGTACTTTTAACTGAAGTTGTTATATCAGTTTATAAAGCCACAAATAAACCTTTCAGTGCTGGGTTAAGGACCTCTGCCAGCAAACTGATTCTCCTCTTTGCCAGAAAAACCTAAAATTTGCAACCCCTCTTTTGATTTTGCTTAGTACCAGTCCCAGTTGTGTGTATAAACATGCTGGTCATATTCTGATCATTGGTTGTTACTATATTACTTAATGTTTCATTCATATTTGGGTGGCTTGGAAGCAGGCTGTCAGATGGCACAAACTTTGGTTTGCTTATAATGTTGAATTAAAATTGCATTTAAAACTCACAAAAATTCCATTTCCCTCAGGCACCACTAGAATTCTAATTGTAGTCTACAGACTTTTGTCAGAGTCCTCTATATGTATCTGCTTATAGGGAGCAAGACTGAAGCAAAATAAGTTACGCATAAATATCAACCACAAACAGGTTGGGTTAGACTTCATAGTATCCTGTTCATTTCTAAACAGCATGAAATGTGGCACTGCATGATACAATTAAGAGGATAGTATAAAATTTCCAAGCCTGCAAAAAAATTGCTAGTCTCTTTGCCTGTGTCACTGGTTGCATTCACTGTGTACAAGATTATTTCAGAATCAAAGTACATAAGGCAAAGTTCTTCCAGCGTTACTACAGGTATCTGAGAATCCTATTGATGTGTTTGCTGGTCTTCACCCCTTTTGGTACCATGTACAAATACCTAACAATGCTGATGATGTTTGCTACTCAGTGGAACCTTCCTTTGTGTTGTATGCTTGTTTCCTTTGACTCAACTTACTTGTCAGCAGAATCCTATTGCCACTGCAATTCAAGCAAATTTGAATTAATGCAAAGGCATGCTAATTATTTGCACCAAAACGTCTTTACTGTTGCTCAACATTAACTGCATGCTCTTAGGCTGCCTTCTAAGGAGGCACTGTTGAGGGAAGGAGCTATCTCCACTGGACTATACTGTACGTGTTACATAACTGCTGCCACATACATGTACTGGTTTTACTTTCAATTTTGCATGATTTTTCCACTTGATACAGACTCAAGATTTTGTTTTTATTTTAGTATATTTATGAAGGCTTTTCTGGAGCATGGTGAGACAAAGTCCCAGCTATCCTACATTTTCTTCAAGAAGTATATTGGACCTCACCTTATTTCCTCTGATTGTCTTAAAGACATTCTCCAGTCACAATATTTTAATAGAATCATCTAGATTGGTGTTTTCTCAAGT